CCCCCGAAAAAAAAAAAAAAAAAAAAAAAGTGCATATTACCTCACGGAACCCAATTGGGCTAGTTTTGAGTAGCAATTTGGCGGGTTTTGTTGTGAATACCTGGCAACCTTGCCTCCGACACCTGTCAGCAGCGCTATAACCGACATGATTTCGCACAATAAATAGTCTTAGATGGTTACATAAAAAACATCTTTTTGACGGTCCTCGCTGAATATCGAGGATATTACAATTTCCCACACTGCGTAGCATTTCCTTGCATTACATTTATTAGTGTCCAACTCATTCCCTCTCATTTTGCTTTTTCATTTGCTTATAAATTTATATATATATATATATATATATATATAAGACTTGTGCAGGTATTCGGTAATGCGATATATCACGGTAATGAATATGCACTGTAAACAAAGCAGCTGCTCTACTTTCTGTTTCTGAATCGTGTTTAAATTATTTAAACAGCCATTCAGATTTGTGTATATACTGTATATATATATAGGGATATTTGTAAATCATTTGCAACTTGATATTTCTTGTTGAGGTTTCGTGACTGAATATGACAGCTAAAACGCATCGCTTATGTCGATATGATTCAATAGACTATAAAAAGAATAGTAATATAAAATATAAAAATAATTAAAGAGTCTAGTCGGCAAACTTCACTTACATGCGCGGGTCATCCTGTAGGGGGCACTCGACGGCTCAAGTCGCACACATTTACATCTTATTAGAGACATTTGGACAGAAAATCTATACAAATTTAAACATTTACCCAGTTTATTCCAGGGAATAGTGTGTGACCCACTTGTGGATTTCCGCTCGCTTAGTTTTCTTTTTAATAATTCACGTCTACTAATCAGAAATGACTGTGATTGTGACATTCCGACCAGCAGTGAGAAAAGCAACGAGCTTACGGGATAAAAACAGCGTGCGGGGGTAATTTAAACGGACGCTGATAAACGTTTATCGCCTTTGTATCGAAAACGCACAGCTGAGCAAATAAGTAAATTAGAAACCTAAAACAGAGGAACGATCGCATCTGACCAATCAGAGACAACCTTCTGGCCACCAAAGCCCCGCCCACTGTGAGTTTCCCGCGCTGCTCACTTCAGTGTTGCCAGTTCCGCGGGCTTTGGGCTACTTTAACACGCCTTCCGCGGGGAGTTTTTCATGTCTGCAGATTGAAGCGATCCCGATAACGTGATATTTAGCCCCTGGAATGTGAATTTTACCAGGAAGCCCGCCAAAAAAGTGTATTTTTCTCTCCGGAACGCCATTTTGAACGGTTTCTCCCTCTTCAAACGCGATTGGGCGGGTTTTCTTGTGAAGACCTGGCAACCCTGAGTCTCTGCTTCTGTCAGGTAACGCTAGTCGGATCGTTTCAAGCCGCAAACACTCACTCACTGCTAATAACTTAGTTAATCAGTGCTAAGGGTGATATTGTGGTTTACTACTGTTTAAACAGAAGACCTTAATCTCTAGTCAGTTAGTTCCAGTTGCTTAGTTGTCTTAGAAAAACGCGAGATCGTGCGAGACAGAATGCGGCTAATCTAGTGTTAGCACACTAAACACAGGAAGATTCGTTGTCTTGTGTAAAGTCACATAGCAAGGCTACGCAATGGCGGGAGCAGTCAGTCTGGAGCTAGACCCCGTCTTTCTGAAGGGACTGAGCTACCTTCACTCCAAGAGCAAAGACTCTGTGGAGAAACTGAAGGCCCTGCTGGAGGAGGCTTTAGCCAGGGGCAGCGACTCCATCTGTAGGACTTCTCTGAAGGTGATCTAGCCAAACAAGCTGGTTTAAAAGTGTGGAATTGAAGTGTTAGATGTATTAATGTGTGATCCGTTCTTTAGGAAGCCGAGGCGAGCAAGGTGTCATTACCAAAAATGACCAAACAAGACTCCAAATCCTCCTCTAGTTCATCATCATCTTCATCATCATCATCCTCCATCATCATCAGCAGCAGTAAATCGAGCAGCTCGGAGAAGACCAAGAAAGAGGGCGAGAAGAGATCTTTGGAAAAGGTCTTTTTAAATGTTATTTTGCTCTGTGATTTATTATTGAATAATATGAGCTCACTGGAAAAGCTCAGCCTAAGCCACTAATAACAGACTGTGTGAAATGCAGATTAGGGTTGATCCTGGGGAAGGAGCGGAGGCACCTAAAAAACCTCGTGTGGAGAAGCCAGACAGTCATTCCTGTACAATTGCTTTTCAAACCAAGGATATTCCCATCCCAGATTTCACGGACACTGAGGAAACCAATGCTGACGACTTTGCCATGGAGATGGGCCTTGCTTGTGTGGTTTGTCGGTGAGTGATGTAGCATAACATGAGAATCGTCACAGGTTTCTCGATTCGATTACGAGTGACATGTCAACACTTCGATGTCACAATGCATCACATCCTCAATTTTCAATATTACGGCTACATATTCATTTTATATCAAATTTATTTTGTGCATTGTTATTAAATTACATAAGCAGGCTACTTTTTAAAATAATTACAAATGAATAATAAATCAAAACAATTAAGAATTTAACCAACTAAATATAGCTTCAAAACATACAAGCAAATACAAATTACTAAAATAAAAATAAATACAAAATTGCTAAAACATAAACTAAAATTCTAGTGAAAACTGTTAAATTACCATTTGCCTATAAATAAATAAGTTAAAAATAAGCACAAAGTACCAAAAAAGAACTGAAACAATATAAAAATAAAAGTTAAAGCTACATAGAAGAATAAATAAACATTTTGCAAAATTGCTAAAACGTAAACTAAAATTCGAATGAAAACCAAAGCTGTAAAAGTAAAAGCTAATTTAAAGTATTAAGGAATAATACTATATAATATGTGACCCTGGAGCACAAAACCAGTCATAAGGGTCAATTTTGTGAAATTGAGATTTATGCATCATCTGAAAGCTGAATAAATAGCTTTGCATTGATGTATGGTTTGTTAGGATAGGACAATATTTGAAAATCTGGAATCTGAGGGTGCAAAAAAATCTAAATATTGAGAAAATCGCCTTTAAAGTTGTTCAAATGAAGTTCTTAGCAATGCATATTACTAATCAAAAATTAAGTTTTGATATATTTACGGTAGGAAATTTACAAAATATCTTCATGGAACATGATCTTTACTTAATATCCTAATGATTTTTGGCGTAAAAGAAAAATCAATAATTTTGACCCATACTTTGTCTATTGCTACAAATATACCCCAGCGACTTAACACTGCTTTTGTGCTCCAGGGTCACATGTATTTAATTGTAATTACTAAGCTGGTTTGGACACTGGTGTGCCAGTATGTTTCATAAGCAGTATTTGTGTTCCAGCGAATCCTTCTCTAATCTCAGGCCATGTGTTTGTGAGACTGACCCAGCTTTTCTCTCCTCTCAGACAAATGACTGTCACGTCTGGCAATCAGCTAGTGGAGTGTCAGGAATGTCATAATCTGTATCATCAAGAGTGTCACAAACCTCAGGTTACTGACAAGGATGTCAATGACCCACGGCTGGTGTGGTACTGTGCTCGATGCACCAGGCAAATGAAACGGATGGTAAGCATGTCATGACACTAAGTTAGGTGCATATCACTTATAATACAGTAGTAACTCTCA